AATAGAGATTATATTATTACTGTGTGATAATAAAAAAGACACTGTGTTATTGCGGTCAATACCCATCATAAAACGTAAAATTTGGCATTCTAACGGGTAGTGGAAAGGTCCCTTTCTCTTTGCCCCCACTTCTTCCATTGAAGTAACTATTTCATATCATTGCTATTAATAGCAACTCAGATTAACACGGTTCTACAAAGACAAGAATATGGCAGTGGCTGAAAAACAAACTATCCCAGGTCATCATAACTCAACCACCAGAGTAACATTTAGAAAATTTTTTCAAGAAAAAGCAGCTCATGTGAAGTCTTGACATTAGGCCTTTTCTCTGCAAGGCTTCAGAAAACATTTTCTGATACTTGCCCAGATAATTCTGTGTCGTTCATGAAGGTATGATTTTTTAAAAAAGAAGTTGGAAGATTTTACAAAGATAAATGGAAGCTCAGGGAAATGAGGCAGTTGCTTTCACCAGGCGCTTCTGAAACTCCACCGAGACCTACCGTGCCTCGTTTTCCACATGTGCCTGAGACACGTGAGTTCCGCCTGCCTTGGCAGTCTTGGTGAATACTGAGATCAAGCTTTCTGCAGCTGACGGCCTCCAGGATGCAAAAATTCCACCATTTCCTCTCTTTGACTAGGAATTGAATGGGATGACTCAGCTCACAGAGTTACTGTAGCAAGCGTGACCTTTTTAAAGACTGCCGTATGGAGCTTTTTTGCCTCTACTTTCTCCAATTTTCCTTTACTCAAGAATGACCAGCTTCAAAGAAAAAGTTCACCACTCTGATTGCATACTCTCCATATTGAGAGGGGTAAAAATAAACATTCTTCTTGGTTTATTCACGCATAAACTAGAATCATCCAAGTGTGACATCTGAAAGGAACTACATGATTATAATCTGAAATGAGAATAAAGTTCATCTTGTACGATTTCTTATTTTTTCCCTGCAGACTTTGAAAGAGGAAAGAGATTGCAGAATCTTAATACTCATTAAATCTCAAGAAAGCCAGGTCTGTGTGCTCCTGTGTTAACCTTTTTACTATTCTGTTGGCTAATTGTCTGTCCGTTCCACCTTCTCCTCCCAGGTTAATGGGGTGGTTAACAGGGGAGGACAGGAATGGTTGGCCAATCACACTACAAAGCAAACTGAAAAGGTCAAAGTAATGCGCTGTATTATTCATGGACTGTGCCTTGCCACGGTATCTTAGATCTCGTGTCTTCTCGTGATGAATTGCAACAAGGACAAGAAACAGCCCAACGTGAAATTGGCTCTTGTGACGATGATTGTAGTTCAGATGGAAAAATGTAATACTGTGGCCTGCTGTTGTTCTGGTTTTTGAGATTAAAGATGTGTGATCGCAACTAGCCACTGAATAAGCAACAGGTTACATTTGTACGACTTCTCATCTGGGTTGTAACTATAATACAGTTTATATGTATATAGAGTCTTCTAATTTTAGCCATGGATTTTGTTTTGAGAGTACTGTATGGTGCCTAATATTCCTCTGTCTTCTGTGTCAATAAAATCATGATTCGTTTATTGATTTCTTAATTTGAGGCTCCTTTTTAAGTAGTGTTTTGTTTAGAAGTATTAATATGCTAATTCCTAAGAGGCCACCTAGAGTGGACTGTAAAACAGTCCTTGTTCTCAGTAATTTGCAATCTGTATAGTCAAATTTGAAGGAAAACTTGATGCAAACATTCTTTTCTTCTTCACCTTTGATGTGAAACAGAGGTAGAGGGAGATACTTCCAGAGACAGGAGTGTGACTGAGGTGCTCTGAATTCTTTTCTGAGTATTGTCTCTCTCATTGACTACAGAGGGAGATTAGCAACAGCAGACTACTGATTTAATCCCTAGCAGTGGATGCCATGAGTGCATGTCCTCATTTAGTCCCTAACACTGGATGTCACGAGTGCATTTAATCATCTTCTGGTGATGTGTTTAATTTAATACTTTTGCTGTAGACCCATTCTTCATCACTTAGAATCACAACCTTGTATTTTTCAAGTGTTTTTACCATATCCCTTTGACAGAGGAGACTTTAGAATTAGTGAAAGCAAAAAATGTTTTTTAAGACCAATCAGTGTTTTGTCTACCTTCTCTGAGTTGTAATTAGTGTTGTAACCAAACAGTAAACATATACCTAACACCTGAAGGAGCTGACTCTGCTTGTCCTCATTGTCCCTTCCAGGGCTTAGTACAGAAGTTCTGGCATTTACAAGGAAGCAAGGATTGCAACAGCAAGCAGAAGAGTTACGAGGCAGTCTTAGGGGAGAGGGTATTTATACCTTTTTTTTTTTTTTTTTTTTTTTACCTTTAAATTGGTATAGTGTTCTTTGCTTTTCATTGAGTGGTTTCAGCTGACATCAGTTGCCTGGGGCCAGTGAACAGAGCTGTCAACAGATAAATCATTTTTGTGACAAAAAAATTGTGTGATGGAGGGAAACAAACCCCCATCATTCATTTGGAAACTAGTCTTTGAAAGAGAAGTGACCTGAAAGTGGGACTCTTGGGGAGTGGTCTCAGATGTGTCCTTGTGTACAGGACTAAAATAGCCCCAGCAACTGTGGGCTGAGACTGTTTTTAATGTGCCCTTAACAAAAAGGAGGATGAGGAATGAAGTCCAACTTGTAAGGGTATTTCCTGAATGAGGAGCCATGGTATATGCCATCACCCTACAGAAATCGCCAGCCAAGGTGCCAGAGAATCATTATAACACAGTCTGCTGTTTCTTCAAATGGGAAGTTAATTATTATTATTATGTGTTTTGATTTTTGTAGGTAATCCGAGTGAATCTCATGCTTTAAAAACTATACTGCATGCAGCAAGCATCAGAAATCCTCCCCCTCACCCCCTACCCTTCTTCCCCACCGTCCAGCCAAAACGTAGTATGTTTGCAGAGTAAAGTTGACTCTCAAAGAGTCCTGAAGAAAATACAATGCAGATTTGAGCCTGGGAATGTATGCATTACAGATGGGTATTTTTGGAAAACAGCAATGCCCTTCTCCATGACAGAAACTCTTTTCGTATTTGTTTCGTGTTGTTTCATAGCTGACTTCATCTCCTGACAACTGCTTTAGTCTACACCTTTCTGGAGGCTAAAGGGCACCATGGCCAGGTGTTGGCCTAGATGTTTCTGACACCTTGCAGATTGATTTGGCCTGTGGCCTCTCTGTCTCTCAGTGATGTATTGATCTGCAGTGTAAGACAGGCTTTCTGCCCTACCTGATATTTGAAAAGTGAAATGTCACATCTTGTTTTGGATCTGGGTCTCCCACAAAACTCCGCGATGAGACCGGTACATCTTTCTCGGTGTGCCCAGATCGACTTGTTCACGTTACACAGACAACTGGTTTTTCCTGGCAATGTTGCTTTTCTGTTCCCAAAGATCACCTGTTGTCAGTGCACTTTATTCTTTTTCATCATTCTAGGTAGAAAACCTGATTTTTGCATTAAGTATTGCAGAATTGTAAGCCAGCTTGCATCAAATTAAGAGTATTTGCTGAAGAACCCCATGATTTACCAAACTGTGTGTTGACTGTGACTTGATGATCCATGGGGAGCAGTCTTTCTGATTTAGTGTGTGTCTGCTCATCAAAGATGGATGATTGCCACTATGTGTCATAAAACTTCATCTGACAAAACCAATTCCATACCAAAATAATGCCATCTCCAAAGGGCAATAATTCTTCACTTCTCTGTCCCACATGTTTAAAGAGTTCAGACTAGCTCAGATTTTCTCAGAAAGATTTCTTTATACTTATTCTGTTAACAATGAACAAAGAGCGATCAAAGCTTTTGTGAATTCTTTCTTAGTTTTCAAAAATCTTTTATGAGAGCCTAGGAAAATGGTGTCTAGCAGCTAAAAATGTGTAGGATTTAGACTCCTATCTGTGATAAATAGATGATGGGAATTAAGTGGCTAAATACCTTTGAGGTCCTGGATTTTTAATTAAATCTTAGGGCTAGGGGGTGGATTTTTCCTTTCTTGCTATCTTTGTTGTTTTAAAGTCACCCTTGGATGAGAAAATATGATGAACTGAATGCTGTTTTCATAGGGTGAGGTTATTTTCTTACAAAGTAAACACAGTGAACAAAAAGGAAATGCCAACCTTAGAAGAGACTGCGTATCAGCTGGGGATGCCTGTCAAACATCTCTGATAAGGTGGTCTCTATTGAAAAGTAGGTGCCTTGCTTTGCTCACTGATGACAGGTCTTGGGGGATTTGGGAACCAGCGCTCCCTTGAAGACCAAAGCAATGTAAGATGTGCTTATGTGACAGACTGCTGCCGTGTCGCTGATCCTTAACCAAGAGATTTGCACTGGAGCAGGCAGGTGCAGTTATTCTCTTCCCTGCGGTGTTTGTGCTATTTTAAAAAAATGATCACTGTGTAATGGGGAGGGGGAGGAGGTGGGGTGGAGAATCATTCTTAGGGCACAGACTAGAGTGAAGGACTTCACATTCTTAAGCACAAGGCAAGAGCTGGGCTCTTTTTTTTTTTTTTTTTTTTTTTTTCTTTTTTCATAGTGTTGTGTTTCTTGCAGGATGCTAGTTTCAACCTATAGATTGTACCAATATCTGTAGTGTAAAGCGTTAACTTGGAAAGAAGGCAATATGAGGCTGATTTTTTTCTTAGCTGAGGACGGAGGGATCCCTGTTCTCAGCACTTCTGGGGTGATAACCAAGCCAGCAGGATTTTACGGAGTTTGGATGCAGAATATTCTCAGAGCAGAAAATACAGGCCCCTTTTTGGTTGCATGTTACTATTTAAATAAACAAGACAATTTAAGCCTTTCACAGACTTTTTTTTCCAGCCAGTTAAGACTAATGAAGTGCAGAAGTGTCTTGCTAAAGATACCCCATAGTGAGGGAAAGGCTTATTAAGTGACAAGGTGGCTTTTGTTGACCTATCTATCAAATACCTACAGCATTAATTTTCTTGTTTGCTGTGTGACCATGTCTTTAGGGCTGGTGAGGGACAGTTTTGTATTTCCTAGTCTCTAATATTGCTGGGTACTTTGAGTACTCTTCATTTTTTCAGTTCTAGCTGTCCTCAGCCTTTTGTTCTTTAAGTAATTGTCTTCTACTTGGTATATGTAGTCTTCAATTAGTCCAATCTGCAATTATAAAGAAGTGGTGTCAGAAGCATGTCCCTTCCCCTCTATAAACATTTTAAAAACTTTTGCAAGTAGTTTATTTCAAAACTAATTGTCATTAGAAAGACAAATACATGAAGGCACTTCTCATACACTTGGCGGGAGTAGTGGTACCTGATTTAATAATTTTTTTTGTCTCTTTCTATTTGGATTCAATTACCTTACTGCTGTGGAATAGATTCTTTCATTGAAAACTGTACACTGAAAACAGGAATTTATCACAACTCTGTCTTTAAATGGCATTGAAAAACAGCCACTTTAAAAGGAAGGGATGATGAGGAAATTAATCTCAGGCAAGTTTTTCTTGATAAGAAAAGAGAACAGAGGCTTCTGGCATTTATATGCCAAAAATCAACACATGGAGAAAAATGAGTATTTCACATTGCTGTGGCAAGAACCATTTTTCTATTAAATCAAAATGAAGTTCTGAATAAATATGTTTTCCCATGAATATAATACACTAGTGAATACAGTAAAAGAATAGATGATCTCCGTGTCCCCCCAAAATAAAAACATAATTATTCTAATAAAGAGTACGTTCAGGTAGACACATCTTCCTTGCAAGGGTGATTTCAAAACAACCAAAAATATGGATTAATAGTACTGTGTAAAGTATTCTGTAAATACCAGGCATTCATAATTCTATGTCTGTCTCTCCTCACACCTTCCCTTTATTCATAACCTTTGTCAGCTTTTGCGATATGCAGCGATTCTGTGAGGTGAAGGTGAGAATCATCTCCCTTCACACTGAGTTATACTCAAGACCCAGACCCTATATAATGCAAGCATCTAAAGAATCAATCTTCCAATTGCATTTTAAGCTGAATTTTTTTTTTTTTTTTTTTTAAAAAAAAAGTCTGAATCTATCATCCTGACATGCATTCAGTGGAGCGTTGCCTCTTTAGGCACAACACAGAACAGCTGACTGTGAATTAATCTGAGTGGGTCTTCCTATTGTATTTATTCATATATTGAGCTGTTACTAAAGTGCTCCCCAGCCCTGAACTTGAAGCTGTGCGTGTGCTCTGGCCGTGGCTTGTGTTGGTGAGGGGTGTGCGTGTGTGAGAGAGCAAAGGAGGAAAGCAGAAAAGTTTATGGGCAGTTACATCTGCCTCCCTGGGGTGCTGAGGGCACAGGGAACACATTTGGGAGAGGGGCTCTGCCTCCTCCTCCTCCCCAGGGGTGACATTTTCAGCAGATTGGCTTCACGTAGCGCTGTGCATGATGCCATGGAAAAGAGTTTTCTACCGTGCTGGTGAACCTTGATGGACACTTGCTCGTGGGCTTAAGCTCCTTTTTGGCCAAGAGATCCATTGCGACAGGAGCACGGGGCGGCTGGGGCTGTCTGAAGACAGCCTCACGGGCTGGCTCTGCTCCGGCGTGCTCACCATATAAACATGCGGAGGATTAGAGACAGGAGTCGTCATGCTAGACTCATTTTTAAGAAGCTGAAATAAAAGCTTAGGAAATCATTGATCTGGCCAAAAGCACATGGGAAGTCTCAGAAAGACTAATCACTTAGTGCTGAGCTCCAGTCCAGGGGCTTAGTCATATTAAAAACAGCCACCAAACCCTCAAGACTCTTCTGCAACAGAGCAAATTAAAATGTCTACATAACTTTTTTTTCTGCAGTTAAAAGTAATCTTTTCTATTTTGGGGGTAGTGCTTGTGTTTGTGTGGGCACAAAGGGTGGTAAGAGGAAGGGAACGGGTCTCAGGTGATGGGTAGGGTGTGGGGTGAGGGAAAAGGGGGCACGAGAAAAGCAAAAATTTTTACAGCAGCTCCTTTAGGACCATCCAGCAGTGCCCACACAGCTGGTGATACCACCAGAAAGCCCTGGTGGAATGACGTTCCTACCTTGAACCATGGCTTGGCTGCTGATGTGTGCTTTTCATATTCATAGAACACCTGTCAGCTCCAGCCCCCAAAATAAGTTCTAATATGGTGTATCAGGGGTGGAAATAATAGTTGCTTACATAATTGCAATGTTACTGACACAGTTGATGAGCTGATGATGTTATTTGCACAGCAGTGATGGCATTCAAACCCTTGCTGACTTACAATTACACTGTATGCTCTGAGCACTAGCATGATTTAAATTACCATACAAACACAATGAAAATACAGTCTCTTGACAAGATAAAGGAGCGGGGGGGGGGAAGGGAATGGCTTTAAAAAATCTCTTTTCAGTGGCTGCAGTGTTCAGTAGTGCTTATTCATGGCTTTTTAGCTTGCACATTTCATTTTAAGAAAGTAAATTGGAAGCATTATGTTCTGCCTTTTTGCCTTGATTTAAAACCTCCCTGTGCCCGCGATTCTGCTGTCTGACGGCAGTGAAGCCACCTTTGGGGCTCTCATTGGGAAATGCAGATTTTTTAAATCAATAGCCTCACTTTTTCTCTGTTTTTTTTTTTTGGTTTGAGTTTTTTGTTTATTTCCACACCCCCCCCCCAACCCCCCCCCCCCCCCCCCCCCCCCCCCCTCCGTGTTTAAATAAGAATCCACGTGGATAGGAATAGGTGGAAGGACATAGTTTGCAGCCAGTCCAAATGTGATCAGTGTTAGAGCAACAGCTGTTGTAGGAAAATGGATTTTGGAAAAGACTTGTGACTTGTTTGCAAGCAGAGCGATAGCTGGCTACAGGCTGATGCTGAGCCTGGATCCCAGGGTTTTATAGCTGAACCCTGCAGCTACTGTGTAGGCTAAAGCAGCCCTGGAGCCCAAGTGACGAGCTCTGCGGGACGTGGCTCACCGCAGAGCATTCACTGCTGGTGTTGCCAGTGATCACACGAGGCTCATTTTGGGCCCGATCCCAACCCTCACAGAGATGAAGAACGTTGGGTCAGACCTTTGCCCTATTTGTACTTGGACTGTGTTTCCCCACCTCTGGCCCCCTGATGCGGGGGGTGTCCGTGTGTGCCGCGGTCTGTGCGCGGGAGCTGCTCAGCGGCATCGCATCCCGTCTGCAGGGGCTGTGCTCAGCGCTCGGCAGCTGAACTTGCTGCTTGACATCCTTAGAGTGCAGTCCTTTAAATACTCTCCTGAACATATGAAACCACGCTACTCCCACCTACCCAGCTATACAGTGTCTTCATGGTCTTTTTCTCAAGTGCCTGGTGACCTGAAAACTTATGAAGATAAATTGGGCTTCAACCTATTTTTAATCCTCCACTGCTATGACATTTTACATTCAAGATATCCTGAGCATTTTCCCCTCCCAGTTACTCCCAGTGGTGCAGTGGCAGCGCTTTTATTTTGGATCAATGTCTAGTGCCTTGGTCCAGCTCAATGCTCCTCGGTGCACAACTGCCCATTTATTCAAGTTCCTTCACTTTCTTCCTCATTAGCTCCTGATTCCAGGCTGCTCCTGACCCTATTTCTTTCACTGGATTTTCCTCCCTCTCTTTAGTCTGGTCCCTGTGATCAGCTGCAGAGAGCAGGAAAAAAAAGGGAATGGACAGAAGGAACATCAAATGGAAAGAGGGAAGAAATAGAAACAAAAGACCCTTTAAGGCAAATTACATGCTTAATCCACAGCACATCCATGTGGTACCTATAGGTGCTTTGGGATCAAGCTAAGCAGAGAAGTGTAGGGGTCTGGGGATAGAAATTTGAAAATGAACTAGGTACTCAGTAGATTTTATTTTGTGCTCTTTGTGTTAATAATGCGTTTATTTTACATTGCCCCAAAATTCTCCTTTGTGCTTCAAATTCTTGCACTGATAATATATTGTGGAATGTATCAATGGTAGAAATTGTTGATTTTGGGAGAGAGAACAAAAGCAAGGGAATTAACACCGAGAAAACATCTGGGCTTCTGCAGGAGTACAGATATATAGTGTTAGCGTTTCAGCTGTCTGCCTTCAGTTTTATACCCAGGAGTTCAGGAATGTACCTGGGGAATCAAAGCAATGGGCTAATGCTGGGTCTGCTTTGCCTAGTGCTTAGGGGAATTATGTCAGGACAGAGAGGCCTCTAGGCTGGTGGCTGAATAAAAACGAGAAACAGGGCAAGAAAAGCAAACTTGCTTGGCCCACCTGAAAGAAATGACACAATTTTTTAAGCCAGAGGAGTGAATGGGAAGGACAAAACCTCCATGTGTGCCTTCGGACCAAGAAACTGCTGGCCTCGATGGCACAACCTTTTCTGAATTCTTGAGACATCAGCACAGAGCTGCAGAACCGACAGGCCATGTCTCAAAAGTATTTCTGTTCTTTTATTCTTGGGGAAAATCAGCTGAACGAGCGGGGTTGTGTCTGCCTTTTCTCGGTGCCGCACATCAAGGCATTTTTATTCTGACATGGAGTGAGAAGGTGAAAATCATAATTAGTGCGCCTGAAGTACCTGGATGGACTGTAAGTCAACTAGTCTGCTCCGAATCCCAGTTCTGACTTTGCTGGGAGAAGAAAATGATCTGTGGTTCGTGCAAATATTGAGGTGATCTGCTCATTTTTAACTGAAATGGTTTTCCATTGTTCTCTAAGGTTGGGCAGAATCTGTAAGTGCTTATGGTTTCAGCTCACTTATCTAATACAGTTTATGTCTGCAATGAAAACACAGAGGGTAGTAGGCAATGCAACAGGATTAGCTGGAGGGATGAACTACAGAAGGTCTAATCAGGTGAGGCAATATGTTTTCCCTTTGGACTAGGATTTGATTCAGACCTACAGCAGTTTTTGGAAATGACATTATATAGATCCACACAAAGATAAGGAACAATACAGGCCTTGTTTGGAGCATATAAAAATATTTCTAATCCTGCCCTTTTGCACATGTTGTCTAGTGATGGATAAAGGGGGGAGACTTGCTGCTGTGAGCATTCAGCCCTGCTCTCTGGATGCCATCCTGACTGATCCACTCGCGGTGTGAAGGGACATGTAAGCAGCACTTTCTGGCTGCAGCTGAATTACAATCACTGCAAGATTTCAGTGTAAGGGACCTCTGGAGGTCATCTACACCAA